GAGTAATATGGAAGTTCCACATGAGTATATGCTGAGAGACCTACAAAACAGAATACCGTTAGGAAAGCCTATGTTAGACTACCAGGGTCACTGAAGTATCTCCTGGGAGCTTTTGACTTTCTCAGCATTCTTTAGTCAAAATAACCTACTCTTTGAGCTCGAGTGCCATAATAGTAACAATAACTATGGACAATGTGATGGTAGTAGTAATTATGAACAATATAAACATGATGATGATGAGCATGCTTTGCTTAATCTATTACTTTTGTTTGGCTTGTCCATTCTCACATCTAAATCTTGCCCATTCTTCCCATGGGGTCTACTATGAATTTCTACTTTAAGTGTTTCACTTGTGGCCCACATAACTTTCTATCTAAGGTAAAAGTTAATATACATAAATGTATCACTAGTCAGCTATATTGTTAACTGAAGGATCCATATCTGATAAGTATTTTTGTATTCTTCTAATTCATAAAAGGAAGGGGGAAAGGAATATTTATTGAATATATACTGCTTATTAGATATTGAGTTCACATAAAAGTGGATTTCCTCTCATAAAATTAATGAAAGATATAAAGTTGTCATATAACTTATTACTGTAACAAAAAACCCAGCATTTGGAAAAATAGAAATTGATTGCTTTTCATAGGATTGGAAAACAGAACACTAGTATTTGAATTTTTATTTCTTCTCCATTAGAGTTTCACTTAAAGGAAAATTCTTCATCTAAAAATCATTGCTTGAAAAGTAAATTCTCTTTACTATTAATAACCAATTAAATAAGTGTTTCTGGTTAACTTGTCTCAATACTTCCTTTGATACCTTTCAGTTGTCCTGGATCTATGTCGTCTTTCTGTAACTTTTCCCACTGTGAACTGAAATAGAATAGTAAAAATGAGCTGAAAACACATGAAACAATATACTCCTACCCTTACTTATCCACAACTTCGTTGCTTGACTTTTCCCATTTAAAATGCCGACTATCAAGTGTGCACGTTAACAA